ACCTGAACTCGTTAAACTCGCGTATTCTTTACTTTTCTGCACTCATTGATTCGTTTGATCGTTGATTCGGAGATCTTGCTTGGATCGGATATTCATTCAGGTTGCACAGCGTGATTATTTTGAATATGTAAAGAATCCATCGTTTTATTAGAATCAGTAATTCTAATTCTATCTTTCTTATTGTGTGTTGAATGTTTTGTGGGTTGGCTGCCGCCAGCCCCCCACCCCCCCCCCCCCCCCCCCCCCCCCCCCCCCCCCCCCCCCCCCCTACACGTTGTCTACTTGATCCCACCCAAACTAAAGATCTCTGCCTATTCCCATCCAAACAATTTATTTTCTGCCTGTTCCCCCAAATTCAATTAGAAATTAAAATCACGATCAATTTACAAAATCGCGTTTTGGTTAGATTGCGTTTTGGGGGGAAATATGCAGAAAACAAATTGTTTGAGTGTGAATATGCGGAATGTAGTCTAGGGGGGAATGTGCATAATTTATCAAGTTCAGAGGACTGAGCGCAGTCAATTTAATTATTAGGTTTTTCAAAATATTTAACACATGATTAGCTTAATTATATCCGCAATATATATTTATATAATAAAATAAATGTATATTTCTATTAAAAAGGTAGTAATATGACAGCACAATTTATTTTAAAAAAACAAAACTAATATTGGTTATTATACATACATAAACATATTATCCTATTGTTTTAAGTATTTTGATTTGAAATACTACTAAAAAAAACTATTTCGGAATATACTTGATATTATATTACTTATTTACTTGACATTAAACATCTTAATTCTTAAGTAATGCAAGTTTATCATTTTATTGGTTTGAGTATTTTGGTTTGAAGTGTTAATAGAGAAAAATTATTTTTCACGATTTATAAACTTATGTTAATATATCAGACTAATAGGATAATAAACTTATATTAATTAAGTCGTGTAATAATACTTCTTCCTATTAGCAATTCAAATAAAAATATTCGAACTAATATGATGATAAAATTATATTAATTAAACTGTATAAAGTAAGCAAATTATGTATAGTAAATTAAATCTCAAAAATAGTTTCTTCAAATATACTTTAAACAATTAGGATAATAAATTTATATTAATTAAACCATATCATATCAAATAAATAAGTTGTGTAATGTCAAGTAGATCCTGAAATATATTTCTTGCAATCCTCCTATTAGCATTTTTAATATAATACTTGAACCATGAATGGTGTAGAAGAGGTTTCAACTCTCTGTCTAACCACTCATTACTCATATATATTAATTTAAGCACAATATGTATATACGACATCTAAGTCTAGAGTCTCTAACCAATCTGTGTTAGAAGTTATTAGTGGCCTGATTTAACAATAAATTCGTTTATTTTCAAGGATTTATAATGAAAATATTCGAACCAATAGAATGATAAACTTGCATTAGTTAAGATGTTTAATGTCAAGTAAATAAGTCCTATGATATCAAGTATATCCCGAAAAATAGTTTTTTCTTTTAGTATTTTAAATCAAAATATATTAAAACAATAGTATAATATGTTTATGTGTGTATAATAACCAATGTTAGTTTTGTTTTTTTTTAAAATAAATTGTGCTGTCATATTGCTACCATTTTTAATAGAAATATATGTTTATTTTATTATATAAATATATATTGTGGATATAATTAAACTAATCATGTGTTAAATATTTTGAAAACCTTAAAAATTAAATTGACTGCGCTCAGTCCCCTGAACTTAATAAATTCTGCATATTTCTCCATAGACTATACTTCTGCATATTCCCACCCAAACAATTTGGTTTCTGCATATTTCTCTCTAAAACGCAATCTAACAAAAACGCGATTTTGTAAATTGATCGTGATTTTAATTTCTAATTGAATTTAGAAAAATAGGCAAAAAATAAATTGTTTGGATAGAAATAAGCAGATATCTTTAGTTTAGGAGATTAAGTAGACAGCGTATAGTTTAGGGGGCTGACTGCAGCCAACCCATGTTTTGTTGACAATGATGATTACACAAGTGTACATAGAAAAACAATTAAATTCGGGCCTGGGATGTTAGGCTCATTTTTATTATTATTATCCGTTTGGGAACTCAATTTGAGCTCCTTTAGGAATACTTCATGATAAGGCTAGGGCCAATTTTTTTATTTATTTAAGGGTTGGAAACCCATTACTAGACCACAAAGCCCAAACTAGCTCTTTTCAACTCACATACTGTACTTTTAATTGACGACTAGGTCTATCTTTTGTTATTTAAATTGTCACAAATTAATAAAAAAGATAGATTACATGTGGAACATACAGTAGATTACAAAGTATGCATGAAAGTAAAACACAATAGTAATAACGAGAGTATGGATGAGAGATGTTTACCGACCCAAACTAGAAGGAAGAAACACAGAAAAATGAGAAGTAGAGTTTATATATATCCAGTGGCGGAGCCATGAATGATAAATTTATATCAACATATGGAATTAATGTAGATAAACACTGAAACTGTCGTTGAAAACCAAACACCAAATTTTAATATTTATTTATTTTATTAATTACTACCACATTGTAATCGTTTTTTTTTTATATATCGATAAAAATATTCAAATTTTTTTAGTTAGGGCTAATTTTTTGGACCGTTTAACGCAGACTTGGATGAGAAAAATAGCCGAACAAATGTTTCCGGAAAAAATTGAACGGGTGTTTAAAAATAATGAAATGAAAGATGAATTTATAAGATTGACAAAGAGATATATTTTTCTATTTTGTACTCTCTACTCACATTCGGATTAGATGGTTTCTATAGAGTTACCTGAATCGAGTAGAAAAATCCAAGTAGTGATGTATGTGCCATGTGGGATTCATGAGTCATGACATCCTCACATTAAATCAACATAATCCTCATTTACTAGTTTGGCTAAATTCCAATCTGCGTTTAATGAACAAAAATTTCAAGAAACCGCTTATGAGCAAAAGAAAATTCCTTTCGAATGGAGAGACCAATAATTGGCCCGATGAAATTCCCTCCTTTAGAGTTTCCTTTTGCATATTTTTTACCCGTGGTTGGTTGCCATCATGAGTAGAAGTGAAAAACCATCTTCAATAGTTTTTAACTTTTCATGAGTTGGGAAAAAGTAGAATGGAGTTTGTTGGTTCGTGAGTGATGTTGTCCTCATGGAAAATCTATTTGCCAATGTCAACTTTATCTTCCACAAATTAATGATCATATATGTGTTTAGCCATATCTTGCATTGCAATGCCCGTCACGAGGAGGGGATCAATAGATTCAAAACATATCATCAACAATATAATTTAAAGCATAATTTGTTTTTTAAATGATAATCTAGAACTTTTTTTCATTGATATTACAAGATCATTATCAGCAATATATATTTACTATAAATACATTGGCAATGGAATCTGTCATGTCATGAAGAAATTTGTATACATTCTTTCTAATACATCCAAATCTCAACTCATATAATCGCTGGAACGAAGCTCGATCATATATACATAACTTCAGTATATATATATGTTATATAATAATTACGTATATACGTAACACATCTGTAACGTTTGATTGTATATGAAGGCACATCTGAAATCAGTGACAAGTCTGAAAATGCCAAATTTGATCACGGGAGAGTTCATGCTTGAAATAATATAATCATAGTGGAGTAGAGAAAATGTCAAATAATTGCAATGTCTAAATACTATTTTGTTTGATCAATTAATTAATCAGTATTTACTTCACAAAAGGTACAAAAGATGTGACGTACTGTATGTATTGTTTCTTTCTCCTTTGTTAAGTTCTCGACGGGAACTTGTTCTTCTCCGTTTTAGACCTGATCCTGATATATTTTTTCGGTAGCAATTTTTTTTGTTAAGTTCAACAACTATTCTGTACTATCATATTTGTTCGCTTTCAATCTCTGTTACTATATTATTTTTATTTTTTTTATTCGAATTAGCATTTTGAATTTTTTTTTTTATTTTATAGAGAAATTACAGTTTTTGTGATTTATAAAATAAGCATTTGTTTTTTGGTACCAAAAATCTCTTCCTCTCAAAAGAATTTTTTTAATCAAAATTACAAACATTAAAAAAATAATACAAAGATGTTAAACTTGTCACAGTTTAATATATTTAATTAAATTGTATTACTTCTACGTTTTACATAACCATTGTAAAATTATTTCATATAGAGATAATTGTGTGGAACTGTGGATCCACACTTCTCTTATTGAAAAAAAAACATAGAACTTAGTTTGTTACTCATATATTGTTTCAAACATCTAGATCTTGGATTTTTTTTTTTTTTGATAAAGGGTTTCTCGATCTTGGTTTTTCACTTAACTATATCCAAAGTTTGCAACTGTAGATTGTTTAGAAGAATTTATCTTTACCATATTGTTATCTTTACCATATTGTTATCTAGTTTGATCGAATCAGAAGCGCATTTTGTTCAGCTCCATTAAATTGGAGACATTTTGGTTCGGTTTGGTTTGATACCTTTTCTTTTGGTGCAAGTGTTTGGTTTTATACGTTACTTGCAAAAAAAGAAAAAAACAACCTTCTGGTCTTAATGGTAAGATGTTACATGTCTCAATGGTTACAACGAAATAACCAAAACATATGTTTCAGTGATAGTATTATCATTTCACCTTAGTTTGTTTTATAGATATACAAACTCATTATAGACAACAACATTGACGCTTCTATTGATCAAATTCCAAAGACACATGTACAAAGAAGAGACTTAAGAAAAATGAAGCAAAGGAATACAAACTTGCGGATTACACACATAGATCCCAAATTTATTATTGCATGAGAACGTAACGTTCATCATTTTAAACAATGCAAGAGAAATACAAACAACAAACACCAATTAAAAAAACACAAGAAGATAAGAAAACAGGTCAAACATTCAAAATCCATATGATTCGTTTGTTTTATAGCTATGTTTGTAGATATGTCATAAGTATTCAACTTATGCGCATTGGAAATTCTTGGGAGCTTTTCTACTACAAACATTGAGGAGTACGCTGAGATTGATGGGAAGGTTGAGGTTGATGCCAAGAATGTTAGCCTTGAGTGCGGTACAGAGACAGGCCGCAGCCTCAAGGTCGACCAAGCCTTGGATAAGCGAGCAACATGGCTTTACGGGTGGGTTTCCCAATGTTAGGTCCACTAGCTTAAGCACATTGGCGCAAACACCGATCTGTAAGGCATCTCTAGGACAAGAACCTGTGCTTGGAGGAGTCGGGGTTGTTGGGGTCGTAGGGGTAGTCGGGGTCGTCGGGGTCGTTGGGGTCGTCGGGGTCGTCGGGGTCGTCGGGGTCGTTGGGGTCGTTGGGGTCGTCGGGGTCGTGGGGGTCGTTGGCTTGGGGATGCACTTATGACATGTGGCAGATGTGTAAGTGAAAAAGAGGAGGTTGAGAGCAAGGAAGAGTGTAAGAGAGGTTCTTGTAGCCATTTGTTTTGTGGAGTGGAAAAGCTCTAACAAAAGCCCAAGAAGTTGCAGTGTGTTTAATTTTCGTTGAGATTGGTGAAGAGAAATGTTGAGTGTTTAGGGGGTATTAATAGGGTTTTCAATAGGATTGAAATGAGAAGGGTTAGTTTTTTTTGGAGTTTACTTAATAATTTTTTAAAATAATGGATTTGGTTATTTAAGTACACTTAATGGTCATTCTCGAAAGTTAGCTGGCATCATTAACTATTTAGTTATTTAAGTACTTGGTAGAAGTGAATTAAGCACTTGAAAAAATTTTGGTGGTGAAAATAATTATATAAGTTATTGACGACCAACAAAACAAGACTAATTAACTAAGTTAAATATTTTTTAATAACGTAGGTTATTTTGGAATAACATGGCTATCAATTATCTATTACATTATTATAACTGTTAAAACTTTTTGTTAATACACAAAAATCCTGTACATATTTAATAAATTTTCATTTAACGTGTACTATTTAAACTAGTTCCAACTCCCACACGATAGTTGTTTTTCCAACCGGTTCGGTAACTAAAAAATTGATATATTAAAATTATCTCAAGATTGCCTTGTAATTAGCCTAGTTAAAAAACATGAACCCAAATCCAACATTTCTCCAGAATGGCAAAAACTCTGGTAGTTAGTAGTATTTAAACTTGTATTTGTGTTAATACTTAGCACACCCCAAGTCTTTACATCTTTTTGGTGCTAAATCAAGTTATTACACTTAACTATAAGCATATTTACAGTTGAATGATTTTGTTCCTTATTCCTTCACGCTTGTCCATGTGAACATATCTTATCCTTCAACAAATTCCTTTATCACGGGGCCAACTTATATATTACCATTATTCTAAAGCATTATTTAGTCTACACATAATCTCACACGAAGACAAATTAATGGCTTCATTTAGCATTTGATAATTGTACATTCATTTTTTAATCCCAAATGGATGGACTAACTAAACCATTCCGTATAACAGGGGTTACAAGATGGACTAATTATAGTATGAATTTCTCATTTCCAACAAAATATTTTTAGTCGGCAACGATTTCCAACAATATAAAATACTGTTAATATTATTATTTACTTCTTTGCCAAATGGATATTTGTCTCTTTTATATCACTCTTCGTTGGTTTGTAAAGTCGAACTTCCGTGCTCAAGAATTATGCAGTCGTGGTAACGCCACTTGCACTAAAAAATCCGAACATAATACTAATTAAATGAAGAATCAAAGAATTCAATGCAGAGTAACATCACACATACATAAGCAAAACCACATGAGACCTAATAGTACTATACATGAGCCAAAAAGTCAGTTTTCAAGTTCAGAATTTGCGGAATAAGAGATAAAGAGAAGTTGAGCTTTAGAAATATCTCTAAATGCTAGGAGAATGCCAGCCACTCTGAAGATTCTTATAAGGATTCTTAAAGTTGTAAAATCCAATTTTATGCTATAGTAGAGTGTTTTAACGATTAAATCATCGGTGTTATTTCTCTTTCGAAACTATAAGTTTTTCTGTTTTATATATACGATAAAATCATACTATTTCTTCTTAGCTGAATTAATAATACAGGTTTCGTATGTATTAGTGGTATCTGGTTTATTATATTAGGGTTATAAAATAATTAAGGTCGAACATGCCAAAACATATGGTTCACGGGTAGACTCTATAGGAGAGATCTAGAATTTAATTATTCCTTGGAGTGGATTGTAATATATAGTATGATAATCACCATGCCAAATCATTCTTTACTATAGAATTGACCAATTGATTGGTTAACTATAACTGTTTTTTTTTTTTATATATATTTCTGTTTAATTAAGTAACATTTTGGTATTTCTGATATTTTTTACGTAAAATTTTATTTAGTCGATCTGCTTCATTAGAGTTCAAAGTACGTAGCTGAGCCTGATTCTAATGTAGGTATAATTTTTTTTTTTTTTTTTGAATCATTTCATTTAACCATAAACGAACTGATACAAAATTAGAGACCCTGCCGGATTACAGCACCGACTCCTCAGATAAACGGGATCTGCTACAGTTAACTACTTCTACAATTAGAACTCACAATGCAATCTAAGATTGAAAGTGAGTAAACCACGTCGTGAGATAAGAAATTGTTGATGGAAAACTACGTTGAGCTCGTGATATCTGACGAAGATCTGAACATATTCGAGTGCAACCTTGCATTTTTCTCTTTCCAAATGACATAAACTGAAGCTTGGTATGCAAGGCCAATAATAAGCGCAACGTTCTTGCATGTTCTTGTTTCTTGGAACTAGATGGGCTTTGGAGGAGAAGAAAAAGCGAATAATAAGCGCAACGTTCTTGCATGTTCTTGTTTCTTGACACTAGATGGGCTTTGGAGGAGAAGAAAGACCATACCTCTCTGCTGAAAGCACAATCAAAGAACAGGTGCTGCCGAGTCTCGTCGTTAGTGTTACAGATGAATGGATGGCTTTTTGATGCGGAATTGATTAACCCTTGATCGGTGTTCGTATATTCATCAATACAATCATCTTTCGGTAATTTACTTGTAGTACTATGGCTTTTTGATGCGCAATCGATTAATTTTTTATTGGTGTTCATATATTCATCAATGCAATCATAAATGCACGTGTGCATGAAACAAATCCAGAGTACTACTCACGGACCACATACAACGAATAATATATTTTCCCCTTTTCTTCCAAAACGAAGCCTTACATATTATGTAATATACCGAGAAATGTTAAGAATTCCACATAATATACATGAAATATTAATTATTACTAGTTAGTTTTCAACTAGAAATCTATAAAATTTAACATGGTATATCAAATCTCGAAATTGACTAATACTAGGTTACTACCTGCACATTCGTGCGGAGTAATATTTATCATAAAAATAATTGTTAAATAGTATGTTTAAGAATATTAATAAAAATTAAATTATTTTTTTAATATATATATATTAATTTTATACTATATATTTGTATTTATTTTGTGCATGCTGCTTTTAATCATTTTGACTTCTATAGCCAAATTTAAATTTTATTTTTAGTCATGGAGAATATTTTGCCATGTATAATTGGTAGTCAAATATAATATCTATAATTAAGTTTCTTGGGAACTTTTTTTTTTTAATATAATTTAGGATCTAAATGTTAATTAGTTGATATTATGGAAATAAATATTTTTGAAATTGTAAGAAAATAAGATTTCAATTAAGTAAATATGTTTATTGTAGTGTATCTAGCGATTTTAATGTTCTATTAATATTCTTTGTCAAAACTTATAATTTTTAAATTTCATTAAGTTTATATTGATATAGATATTTCTTTTTCTTAATATTAGATATTTTTTATTTACTTAATTACAAATTTTTAGTTATTTATTTGGGAATATCCATAACACGGAAATGATATCCTAAACTAAAAATATTCTTAAAGATTTGTCATTAATTTGATTAGTTAAGATGATGTTGTAAAATAGATTTTTACATTTAATATAAAAAATATTATAGGATCCGAGTATTTTTTATGGAAACTATTGATGTAATTTATTTTTAATTTTTATTTAAATAAATAATGCATTTTTAATTAATAGATTAAATAAAGATTAATTATTAGAAAAATTCTAGTGGTAACACCTCAACAAAAATGGCCAGGAATATTTACATTATAGATATGGTAATTTAATTTAACTTATTAAACTTCGTTGCTAATCCAAAATATAGAATTCAATTCGATATGGATAAGAAAAAACAGCATCTTAAAGACGTTCTAGTATTACATGAAACTTAAAAAAAAACATTATTTTATCGTCAAGACAAATGAAATACAACACAAATCCGTTTGGGATCTTTCTCATCCTCATGCACCAATTCAAATAAGGGGAAGATACTAAAAAAAAAAAAAACAAGGAACACAAATTCAAGTTCGAGCACATTTCATGCATAGCCATAAATGAAAGATTCAGCGATTTTTAAACGTTATAACGTTTAAGGAGCTAGTTAAGGGCATTGGAAGCCACGTGGAGCCTTTCTGCTGCAAACGTTGAGGAGCAAGCTAAGGTTGATTGGAAGGTTGATCTTGATGCCGAGAATGCTAGCTTTAAGCGCGGTGCAAAGACAAACCGCAGCTTCAAGATCGACCAAACCGTCAATGAGGCTGCAACAAGGCTTAACCGGAGGATCACCTAATGTCACATTAACCAAGTTAAGCGCGTTAACACAAACACCGAGCTTCAAGGCATCTTTTGGGCATGTCTCGATGGCAGGAGCAGTTGGGGTGGTAGGCTTGGGTTTGTATGGCAATGGTGGACAGCCGGAACGAGCGGCTTCGGTTAGGGCGAAGAAGAGGATGTTCAAGGCAAGGAAGATGGTTAGAGAGTTTCTAAGAGCCATTCTTAGCCTTGAAAGAAAGATTGGAGTGTGTTTAGTTTGAGATTGGTGAAGAAATTGAGAGTGTATAAGTGGGTATTTATAGGGTAAGTGGAGTGGCTTGAGTGAAACAATTAATGAGATAAAGTTCGTATTACTTAGATTATTTAAATACAACTAAGTGTTATAATAATAATGATATGTACGTAAAACCAAAATGATCAAGAATATGTATGTGTACCGACCATGTGGTGAGCCCTCGTCCCTAGGGTATTTTAGCTGGCGATCTGAAGTAAGAGTTTGGAACGAAGTGTGAAGTGTACATTTTCAAATGGGTTTCAGAATTTCTTAAAATGAAATAAATATATTATAAATTCTATGGGAATACATACAATTTATATAAGTTTTAACCGATTACAACTTGTTGAAAAAAAAAAACGATTACAACTTGTTTGGTTAGGAGGCGGATTTAGAAATTATTTTAAAAATCGTAAATAATAAACTGAAATAAAAATAAATTAATTTCAGTTATATTTATTTCTGTATTTGTATTTAACTTTTTTAATAATTTTTTATTACACATAGTAAAATTTGATTAATTATATATTTTAATCATTTTAACTTAGAATCTGATCTCTATATACACTAATTTATAATTAACAACTACATAATCCGTTAAAAGAAAATTGGACAAGAAAAAAATTAAATTATTGTGAATATTAAAAAGTAAGATTGAGAACATGTTTGCAAAAGCACTTATAATAGAACTGATTAAAGAAAATGACTTTCTCCTTCATTAAGTATTTACTTATATATTTTTCACAAATATGATTGAATATAAAAAATAAAAAAAATAGATCACTGTTAACATAAAAAACTCAAATTGAGAACATCTTTTTGCAAACCACTTATAATAGAACTGATTAAAGAAACTAATTTTCTCTTTTATTATATGTTTATTTTATATTTTTCCTGAATATGACTAAACATGAAAAAGTATAAAACAAAATTAGATTACCGTGAACATAAAAAAAAAAAGACTGAGAATATTTTTTGCAAAACTGATTAGAGAAATTGCCTTTCTCCTTCATTCCATATTTTTTTTTTAATATTTTCCAAATATGATTTCTCTCTAACAAACTCTCATTGAGAATCTCATTGGGTAAAATGGCACCAGAGTAAAATTGGCTTTATCCTTCATTCTGCTTCCACAATTTTTGTTTGTTTTTTGTCGCTTCATTAGTTTTTCATCTTATCATATTGATTAATCAATATAGTAAAATTATAAAAGATTTTATGTATTTATAAAGATGTAAATAATACTTTTCCTTTTATTTTATTTTAGGGTTAGTATTTACTTTTATTTTAATTTTCTATTTGTTAATTAAATTATATAATTTTTTTATTTTCCTTTTTATTTATTTATTTTATTATTGTTATTGTTTTTTTTCCAGATAATAGTTATATTTCAAAAAATGTATTTTTAATTCAATCGCAATACATGTCAAAACCGTATCAATTAAATCGTCACATGTTATGATCATGTTAATTAATAACTTTGACGCATCTAAATTTATATAATAAGATATAATAAATTAATAAATAGTATGTGTAATGACATCAAATTTACTAATTTAACAAGCTCAAAAAATTTCATCATGTTTTTATTTGGTCGCCAAAAAAATAATGAGGTTGAATGGTATATAGTTTTTTCACGTTTTCACGTTTTGAAAACGTGATTCCACTAAATACATACCATTCACAATATTGAATGATAAAAAGTGAAAATTAACACGCGATTTTTCAATTTATCCCGTATATTTTAAATTTATAATTAATTTTGAGAAAAATCTATTAATCTATTAGATACTAGCTTTAGTTTTTTGAGTTTATTCAATTTTCAATTTAGACATCCTATTGATTCCGTTAATTTATCATGTTTTTAGTTGGTCGCCAAAAAATAATGTTTTTAATGGTTATTTAAAATATATTAAGTCATTTAGCTTGAGGAGATGTATAAGAGTATCATCTACTTTCTCACAATACCATAATTTTTATTATTTATTATTTATTATTTTATTACTAATTTATTATTTTATTATAAAATTATAAGAATTATTACAACATCATTCTATAACGGATAATTTTACCATCTTATGATGATTAACAACAAAATCCACGACTCATGGTTCTAACTGCACACGCTAAAGATCTTCTGTAATTTTTTTTATTAATCTATATAATTATGAACTATACCAAAGATCTCTCGTAAATTTACCTTCATTAATATACATAATTAATAGTTAATTGTACTTTCTAATATATATATATATATATATATGTAACACATATATTCTGTAGTGTAAAAGTATTACAAACCACTGTAACTCTTTATAATAAGGTTTTTTTAGAGTAAACTTTGAAATACTGACTGTGGTACTCCAGACACTGACATGTGTCACCTACATTTTAAGAAGAAAAAACATAAACACATAAAAAACTAGGAAATGGTCTGTGCGTTGTGCTGATTTGTGATATATTGACTATTTTATATTTACAATCTATTTCATTATATTTATTAGTAAATGCTTGTTAGTAAATATTTTTGTTTTTAAGTTGTAAATACCATTTAAATTTTGTTTTAAAAAGTTGGTGAAATAATAATGTTAGGTTTGATCCTCTAGGGGAGTGAAGCTGTCATCATGGATGATCGAAAAGAAAGTCCTCGAGAGTATAATCCATATTGTGATAGTGGTGGTGGTTTGAGGTTTTATGCAGTAGAGAAGTAGTGAGTCATTAATGTAAACAGATTTTGTGAAAGCAAATAGTGCATAATTTTCTTTTTGATTGGCTACAAAAAAAATATGAAGAAATAAATCTATTTTCAGGACAGAAACAATGACAAAATAAACTCTTAAAAGTAAAAAAATATCTAAAATAATATGAAATACAAGACATAATGAAAGAAAATCTAGTGGGAAAGAGAAAAAAATGAAAACGTTATTTTTAAATTTGTTCGATAAAAAAGAATACAGAACAGATTAGGAAACAAAAAGGTGATAGTAGTTGATGTTACTATATTATATAAGATTTAAACTTCGTTGGATGGTTTAATATTCATTTATTTTTGTTGGGTAGAAAAGAAAGGAAAACAAAAAATCAAAACTTTTGTTTTTGTATTAGCTTGTTGAAAGAGAAGGTTCTAGATAGTAGAATCCAGATTGTAATAGTGGTGACGGTTTGAGATTTGATGGAGTAGGGAAGAAAGGTGTGAGGAATTAATCTTATTTTTTTCATAAAAGCAAATAATGCATAATTTATAGCTTTTAAAGGAAATAACGTGAAGTAAGAGACATAATGTTATGAAGAAAAAAACGAGAAAGAGTGACAAATGATCTTACAATATTATGTAAGATTTCTTTGAGTGATTTGTTTATGTTGTTGGATGAAAAATAATCGTTTGTAGAAGAGAGAAAAAATCTAAATTTGTTTCACGATAGAAAATAATGCATAATTTTCTGTTTAGTTGGCCACAAAGAAAACATAAAGAAATGAATCTATTTTGCAATGAAACAATGTCACAGTTACCTCTTAAAATCTAAAAAAAACTCTTCTTAAATAATATGAAGCTTTAGACATGATCTTACTTTATCATATAAGATTTGTTTGAGTGAAGATATATATAATGAGAAAAATACGAAAACTCTCTCAGGCACAGTTTACGAAGGGAAGTTTACCCGCCGGTCCGAACCTTGCTTCAAATCTCAACAACTTTTTCTTTCCAATTTAGGAAAGTTGACTTCGACAAACCGCTGCTAGTTTTGGCATTTCCGAGGTTCAGCCCCCGGCTGTCATGTCGGAGGGCCCGTCATCCACCACCGGTAAGTTCCCTGCCTTTCAAGACCACCCCCAGTCTCTCAGTAGTTCTCCCCGGAAGTTAAAAGCTCTGCACTAAGCACCCTCTCGGTTGAAAGACCTCAAAATCTTCAAGCACCCTCCCCTCTCTTTCGTCCTGAATCCTCACACTGTTGCCTCCCCTCGCTTTAAACCTACCACGGTTACCCAAACTGCCGCCTGCAGACTGCTCTAAACATCCTTTAAGCTCCGCAAAATGCACGTCTTCGAGACCCAAGCCAGCTCATCCTCGGAAAATGCCTACCTTTGTGTGTGCCACTACCTTCACCATGGCCTGCAGATTCACCTACGCAGAAAAAGGCAAAGCAATTAACAACTCACCAGATGTCTCGCCCCCACGAAAACGAATCAGGATCCCGGATTTTGATACGTCACACCTCATCCTAGAGAATGAGCTTACAGTGGTGAGAAGACTCACCAACCACCATGAGCAAAGGATGAGTGCTGTCATTCCCTTTTTCCCGGCAAAATGGGGACTAAAAGGTCAAGCCTCTGGCTCAGATCTGGGAAACCACTGCTTCCAGATTCGAGTTGAGCATGAAGAAGACCTGGAAAGAGTTCTCGAAAACAGGCCATACCAGTACGCACGTTGGATGGTTATCGTCCAAAAATGGGAACCTATCATCTCACCGTCCTTCCCCTCACAAATCCCCTTCTGGATCAACCTCCAAGGTCTACCACTACACTACTGGGATAAAAACCTCCTAACAAACATCGGAGAAGCCCTGAGAGTTTATGAAGCTCAAGATCTTTCAAAGACAGCAGCAAAGATACGGGTCTCCATCAATGGACTCCAACCTATCATCCTTGAGACGGTCATGGAGTTTGCTAACGGAGAAGAGACAGTGGTGGTGCTGGACTATGAAAATCTGGAAAATTACTGCTGCAAGTGCTTCAAACTCACTCACGACGCTAGACTATGCCCTGAAAGAAGCCACCCTGAGTCCCACGACCTACAGAAAAAAAGATATGATGAGCAAACAGACTACAACGAGTTCTACAAAAGGAGAGATAGACATGGCAGACCTTTTGGAGAAAGACCATCTCAAAAGAGAACCGTAACAGAGAGAAACCAGTTATCCTTACACCCCTCGCCAGAAACCCTGAAA